ACACATACACACAACACACGNTTTAAATACTTCCATATTCACATTCACATACAGCCAGCATCCACACACACGCATGCACATAAACAAACATCTCACACACCTACAAACATACACACCTACAAACATGTCACACACCTACAAACATACACACCTACAAACATGTCACACACCTACAAACATCTCACACACCTACAAACATACACACCTACAAACATGTCACACACCTACAAACATACACACCTACAAACATGTCACACACCTACAAACATACACATACACAAACATACAAACACAGACACGTCTATGCACTACACAGACAAGTAAGTAGACAGATACTGTTGGTCGTCTCATTGCCCATCCATCAGCATGATTGCTGAACCCACATACACATACAAACCTTATGCATCTCAAATGTGAAATCTCTCCATTTGAAAAAAAACAGCTTTGAAGTAGGAACTTAAACATTATTATTCGTACCCTCAACCAATGAAACATTCACACATATAGGTATATAAACACCCACATACACACACACACACCACACACACAAATACGTACACACACACACACAGACACAAATTGACTTGATGACACACGATTTATTTAACCAGCCACCATAAAATCCGTTCGATTGATTCTTGCGACATGCCAGCTTCGAGGAAGTCCAGTCTTTATTACTGCAAGAATTTCATGGCATGGAGGTCTGCATTGGGCGTGATTGTGTTTCAAACTGTTGGTTGGCAGTTTGCTGGCCTATTGCTGGATAGAGACATCTGGTGGTCCTGCTTTGTGTGTGTGTATGTGTGTACGTGTGTGTTTGTGTGTGTGTTTGTGTATGTGTGCGTGTATGCATGTGTGTGTGGTTGATTTGATATATTATATTGATATATTATATTGATATATATATATATATATATATATATATATATATATATAGTTATTTTTTCAACAAAGCATTTAATCACAGTACAATCCTCCGAAGAATGTCGGTAGAGTGAATAGCATTATAATAGTTGTCTGAAGCAAGTGGTGCATTATCAATGTGAGAATGGTCTTCAACGTCCAAGCATACAGTGATGGTTGTTGTTGATATTTAGCAGTGGATTCTCTGCATTTGAAGCCGGTTACCGTGGCTTGGAGCATGCTAGCAAAACATTTTTTCCATTTAAACCGTTTTGTCGAACTTCCATTTCTTCTCCATCTATCAATTTGTTCATTCGTTCATCCAATTAGTCAATCGTTCGATCAATCAGGCTTTAATTGATGGATGGAAGGTTAATTGTTGAATAATTTATTTCCTCTTCTCCTTAAAAAGACATTTCTCGGTGGAAATTGTAAGATGTGATTTGTTGAAGAAGTGTTTGGAAAAATATTATTAAATCATTTTGGGGTTTTATTGAGTGATTTGATAAACAGTCAGTCTGGTAGCAGGTTCCTGTGGTGAGTACCCTCGAGTGGGGCAACAGTTTATCATCTATCCATTTCATTTTCTAAGTTCAACGATCAGTGGATTAATGGATAAATCCATCCATCCATCCATCCATCCATCCATTCATCCATCCATCCATCCATCCATCCATCCATCCATTCATCCATCCATCCATCCATTCATCCATCCATCCATCCATCCATCTATCCATTCTTCTATCAATTTACTCATTCATTGTCTTTCTAGGCCGTTCATCCGTCCATCAATTACTTCACTCATCAAATCTTTTTTTCTTTTTTTTGTTCGATCAGTCTATCGATCATCATCAACCTCTCCTTCATCAGCTCATTCATCACACTCCTCCACTCAAACACGACTTTGACAAATTCATCCATCCATTTATTCATCCATTAATCTATCCATT